ACTTGACAATAAAGTTGACTTGATTTGACTTTCTTTGAAGTGATTTCTATGAAATACACTCTATATGCATGTTGTAAAGATTTACAGTATGTAAAGGTTAAACAAGTGTAAAACTCAACTCTACAAGGAGTTTAGTATTTTTTTTTTTTTTAAACAGCCAGTTATTGTCTCTGGTATCCACACACTACACTTCAGTGCAGCTACATCTTGCAGCAGAGTGCCCTCCAGTGGTCTCAACTGCTCCACTGATCTGATCCCAGCAGCGGGCAGTGAAAGATGCAGATTTTCTCTGATTTCTTTTTCAGTGGAGAAGATTGGGACTGATTTTCACCTGGATTTTACTTTGTGTTTCCACACATCAAAGAATGGCTGTTTCCTGCACCTAGAAGACTTATTAACTGCAATTAACAGTAAACATGGTATCTCTTGTGGTGTGGTTATATTTGTCTTCCAATATGAGAAACTGAAAAGAAAATGGAAAAAAAAAGTCCCGCAACGGACACATGTAAGTGTTAAACTACTGTTAAAATACAAAATCTACATAATAGGTATTGATGAAATTAATTAGATATTTTGGTTGAGACAAAATATTTTGGAGGGCCAATTTTCTTTGAAAAGGGAATGAGTGAAAAGACCAGTTCCTCTTTGTGGTCTGTGGAGGCTGGTTTAAATATTCCCTATACAGACTTGGGCGAGGTCCTGTTTGGTGAATACTGACGACAAAATAAAGTTAAAGAGTTACACTTTGAAGAAACAAGTGTTACATGGTATGCATCTTTCATTCTGTGAATGCAGGGACTAGAATAAGTGGGTAGTAAAAATGATTTAATCTGTAATACTGACAAGATAAGATATACTGATAAAATAGGTGATTTATTCAATTCAGGCAGTTCAGTTTACATGCATATTTAAATGTGTGGAGGGCCTTTAGTCTCTCAGACACAGCACAAAACTGCAGCTGCTCGCTCGCAGGATAATGTCAAATATTAGACAACATAGCGCCTCATATTATATTGTTATATATATATATAATATATATATATAATAACAGACAATATTATCACACAGGTAGTAAACAGTTTACCACTACTTGTGTACCATGATAATATTGTCATGCAGTACCACCAGTGCTCAGCAGGTGTCAGACATCTTCCAGACACACTGTCAGTGGTCACAGCACATATAGAGACCGACAACAATCCTTTGTTTCATTGAAGGATGTGTCACTACTTCCGGTTCAAAATAATAGCTGATTCCAAAAATATAAAACATATCGAACTGCTTTTGTATTTTTGTATCCTTTCTTTATAAGAGTCATTGCAACAAATGTTGTTTTTTTTCATTAAACAATTGTAAATGTTATTAGCTGCAATTTTGGATTAGAAGTTTTTAAAATAAAGGAACTTGAAGCAGTGAATACCAATAAATGTTCGTCTATTTGTCTGTAATACAGAAAACGTGATGAATTTCTAATCTTGATTAATATTTGGGAGTTTTTTGTGGCACTTTGGTTAAATATGATCATTTGCACAATGTCACTACAAATAAAATATCCACCACCACATTTGCCATGGACTCATGATGAGTTAATTCACACTGAACAAATCCTCAAACCTAAGTGATGCATGTGACTGATTCACCAGGGTTTATTTTGAAAACCCCAGCAGGAAGTGTGACGTTTATTGTGATAAGTTTTACAGTGGGCAGCGGAAGTGTCGCGTGACTGACTGGGGTCTTGAACACATCTGGTAACAAACGCCTTTTTCCATATATTTGATCTAAAGTAAGGGTAGCGTAAGTTGCTATTTAGTCCATTTCTCGTGGGTAGCGTGTAAAACAATGAAGGTATCTCTGACTAACCGAGGCTGACCGGCACTTTTACCTGCTAACTTGGTGTTAACGGTCCCGGCTGGTGCACTGATGCCCCCCGCTGTCGGAGCTGCTCTGAACGACCTAAAAACCGCAGCGTGTGGATTAAAGCTTTAACGATTAAAGTGTTATAAACACGTTCAACAGACACTTTCAACAAAGTTCAACAAAGGATTCGTGTGTTTGTATTGAAAATCAACCTGTAGCGTTAATTAGTATTTGCTTTATAAGTAAACTAATGTGATAGAAGAAGTGAGGCAACTGTGTGCGGTATGAATTTGAGCTAACGTTAACTAGCGGTGTTTTAGCGTCTCCTGCCTACATTGTCATTTGACGATAATTTTAGGACAATTTTAACTGTGTACGGTGTGTGAACTGAAGTTTACGGTTAACGTCAGCTACTAACGTTATTCCAGTCGGCGTTTGGCTAACGTTAGCGGCACGGGAGCTCAAAAGTTACCGAGCTGAGTATCTTCTAGTTCAACTTCTGAGTTTGACAGACATGAGTTTTACTCGTCCGCTTTTAATTTGAAGGGGTACTCCTTCGGCGGAAGGGCGGATGCTGCTCGCTGTTTGTAACTCGACACAGCGGATTCCGCTGGGAAGCTTTTAGATCATCGCCAGGCGGATCTTTGGGGATCTCTCTCGGCTGTACGTGTAGGTCAGCGGTGCCACCCCTGGGATGAATCCACCCAGGTATGTAGCTCGAAGGTGGGGCAGTGTCTGTGGATGTTCTGCGGTCAAAAGGTGGGACATGGCCAAAACCTGCTCCCTTCCTGCCGCCGCTGCCCCTTCGGTTTGCCTGGCAAATTAGCTGGCTAGCCCGTTCTTTGCCTTGCAGATAGCGTATGTTTGCTCAGTCACATCCACCAGCTGCTGTAATATCCTACTTGATTTACATTTGTCCCTTCCCTTCCAGCCTCAGCGCCTCTGTGGATCTGCATTAGCCTGGAATATGAGCAGAAGAAGGAGATAAGCGGCGGCGGCGGCTGGCTTCCTGCGGGATTGTGCCCAGGCTTTTTTGTTTTTCCGTGGACATGCCTGGTCTATGGAGGAAAGCTGAGCGAAGCTAGCTGGCCGACCGTCCGGCTAGCGCAACATTTCCAGGCTTTTGGATGACTGTTCAGCTGAAGGGCTGATTTATTTTGGATCAGCGCTACCTCCCCTCCCTGGGTTAGGAGTCAGCATGGGGGAGCCCAGCCTGGACGACGCCAACGTCAAGGTGGCTGTCCGTCTCCGGCCCATGAACAGGAGAGGTGAGAGGGCTCCAGTCTGCTCAGATTTGGATTGTTATTGATGCACTGATTCTCTAATGAATGTTTTCCACTGAGCTGGATTTCAGGGTGACACCATGGACACATAGAGGCTGCGTTGACTGACTGTCCGATTATTGGTATGAATGCACTAAAATCAGGTGTTAGTCATGTACAATCACAGGCTTATATGATGGACACACTACCTCGGGTTGACTATAAACACGCTGCATTTCACAGTAACACTATCCACAGGAGACTCAAGTACTGCCAGTTTAATTTCCTGGGATTGGGGTGCCGGTCAGAAATCAGCACCCATTAGTGAAATGAGCTCCTGCAGATTAAAGAAAGCTCTAGTCTGGGTGGCACATGTTTCTACTGTGCTGCCACAGGGCTTCCTCGTGGCTGCCTGCCATCCAACTCGATTTAAAGCCGAGCTGCTGTGTGAGATCTACTGTTAGAAAGTCCAGACGCTTTGTCTCCTTCGCTGGCTGACACAGATGCCAATAGCTCTGTGACTTCATCTGTCACTTGCTGCAACAGTGGGGCAAGTTCGTCAGTTGAGCGTACAGCTACGGGTTGGTATGATGTAATGAGAACAACAGCAGTATGTCAGGAAAACTCCTCAGGGGCGTCAGTGCATGCGGGTCCAAAGTTCACAAATCATTTACTAGACACTAAGTTCCACAGTGATAATGTGCTTTCATTATCATCATTAGGCTCATGTATCGTCAGTCCAGCAGTCTTCCCTGGGCTGCAACATGTCTACATAACATCCTCATCTCTGATTTTAGAAAAGCCGGGCAAACAAAGGCACAGTGTTACACAAATCTGTGTGCAAATGCTCGGTTCAATTATGGTGCAAATTTTCAGCGCTGCATGCAGGGAGGCACAGATGACATTTCCTGGACGATTGCCAGGTCGTGTTTTTGCCGTGGGAGACCATGTGTCCCATGAAAGGAGGAGGAGGAGAGCTGCTGAGGCAGAGTGGCTGACCGACAAGTGGCAGAAAATGATCACATGTATCCCCTCGCTCTCACCCCCTCTGAGCTGGAGAAGTTGGTCACAAGACCAAGGCGGTGGATTGCCACGCTCTTCCCATAGGCGGGGATTTACCATGAACCTTAATGTAGAGAAACTCAGCAGTCAGGATGACGTTTCTCCGCCATGGCTCTCTTCAAGGTTAAATATTTGTTTTGGACACACAAAAATCCCATGCGTATCTGTTTTTGAACAACAACCATGAGTCAGATGACATTGGGTAATTGTACTGTCAAGGTTGTGGTTCTGTAGATGGGGAGGCTACAGGAATTCCACTTCAGATCAGGTACATTTGGATCCATAGAGGTAGGTATTTACTGTAAATACATTTCTCTGGCCACATCCTGTTCATTTCTTAGGGGACAGTTCTGTGTTTTTCACCAATTCCCAGTATCCCCATGTCTACTTCCTGTCAGTGTGAACTCTGCATCATTCCTGAGGAGACATTTATTCACTCAAGTTTCTGTCCAACTAACAAGTGACTAGTACATGTGATGGCAGTCTGTCTACTTCACTTTAATTACGGTCTTAATTTAACTAAAAACACATTATTGTTTGTTTTTTAAACTATGATTCAAGCGCCAAAAAGCCATTTTCAGAAGTAGGCGTAAAGCACCACTAAAGAGCTGTTTTATGTATGAGTTGAGGCGATACTAGTAACTGTATGTCCAGCTTCACTGTTGTGCATGATTTCAAACATGCAAGACATATTCTGTCAACATTGTAAACAAATCCCTGCATCTGTCTTCCATTGCTCAGCAATGTCATGATTATGGTGAAAGGGAACAAGCAGCCAAACTGATGGCTTACTAAAGGCAGTGGGAATTGGTTTGGAACCAGCAGTGCCACGTTTCCAGTTGTGCCGCTCTGATCCCTGTCTGAATGGAGCTCCTGTCCATATCTGTAAATGTAAGACTTCTGTGACCTCCAATAGCCCCCAAAAACCAAACACAGAGTTCTTCCATCATATGTTCAGAGGAGGTGACAGAAATCAAATCTCATCAGCGCTTAGCAAAACTGCTCTCCATGCTCTTTCCCAGCGCCACATCATTTTTATTCAGTCCGCCACACATTCACACTTTTCAGCTGCTCGCTTCAGACACTGCTCTTCCTCTGTCTCCTGCTGCCAGACAGTTGCTTTAGGACACAGCAGCAGCAGCAGTTACAGGAGGGATAAATAGTACTCTCACTTTCCTCACTCACCTTTCCCCAGCCGGCACAGTGAATCAGACCGCTGACACTGAAATAATAAGGGGGCTTCTTTAACCTCGAGGCCACTGTCCCTGTGTATCCCAGGTTGAGGAGGAGAGGTGGTGTAGCTGCCTAGCTGGACAAAGGCAGGAAGGGAGTGAGTCTGAATGAATATTTGCTAATGTTGCGTAATGCTCCATGTTCCCATGGCTGTGGCCTTCGAAGAACAGAGCAACGGCAGGCGTAGCAACAGCAACACCACGGCCAGTCGCCTTCCTGGCTGATGTCAGCGCTGTTGTGCCAAACCTCAGCACCGGTAGCACAGGGAAGGACCAGAGAGAAGGCCAGTGGAAAGGGATTTGGTTATGGAGCAAGGAGAGGCAGATAACAATGGGTACATTTATCCTCCCAACTTGACCGCATCACACTTTCCCTACTGCTCAGGAAGTACAGCTACAACGCTAGGGGCACATGGGTAATGAAGGCAGCAGCAGAAGAAGAGAAGGCAGAACAGAAAGTTTTCTCACTCAGCCTCATGTCTCATGTCACTTCCCCTCTTTAACTTCATCTTGTTCTTCAACTCTCACTGTCTTTTTGTCACTCAGACCCTGTTGGCTCACCCTGCTTCTTTTGCTTTGTGGTGTCCTTGACAGCAGAAGAATTGGAGGGTGATTCAGGTCCTCTGCCCTTTGACACCATGTTTCCATGGCTCTTTTCCCGTGTTCCTGCCAGGAGCAGCAGTGTTGAGGTTTTCACAACAGACAGTGTAGTCTCAAATCCTTTATGTTCCTGGTATGCATAGGCACAGCTAGCTTCAGATATATAACTGCTCAGGTTAGGATTCTCTTTTGTTTCGCAGGGAGGGAAATTTCCACTGTGGCTGGGAAGTTAGAGTAGTCCACTTGAGCAGCCATTTTTAGAAAAAGGTACTTGTGAAGGGACTTGTGTACTCTTTATTCTACCTGCAAATCCAAATCAAATGGATGTTTGCATGTGCTTGTTAGGAAAAACAAGATGCTAATAATTTGGTTTGTAAAGCACACACTGCCTACACCTATGCAGCAGCTGAAATCACTCTTGGCAGGAACACAGTGGGCAGGTATGGCCAGGTATTGTTTGGCAAGGATGCTAAGCTTCTTGTAACAGCATTCATACTTATAACCAAAACAACAAGTTGTCGTCTGGAGAAGTCATCCCACATTGAGGAATGGTTTATTTGAAACTGCTCTGTCTCCTGTACACTGCGATCAACCCTGGGTGGTGCACTGATAACTACTTCTTTATCAAGAAAAAAATGGCACATGCTCCACTTCTTGTTCATTTTACTGTATGTGCTCATCCCTGCTTCAGAGTAGTCATGCATTAGTCAGAAAGAGTAACTGAAGGTATAAATATCATCATATCATATGACACTGTGTAATGCTCCTTTAGACAGTTACTGTTGAGGAAAGGAATTGAAACCACAGAATGTTTCCTGTCCTAACGCATTTGCTGAAGTTCAAAACCCTTGCGTGCTCTTGCATGCTTGCTACATAATGGAGAAAATGATTATTGACAGTCATCTGGGGCGTAATTGTGTATTAAAAATCTAGCAGTCTGTATTTAAATACTCGGCCAAATGGTGACGGTAAAGAAGATACCCAGTAAACCTTTGCAGTAGAGGTTCTGGTTTGGAAAACTACTGGTTCCCTCTGAGGAGCAATTGAGCAGGATAGATGCTTGTTTGCATTGGAGGCTTGAACGGGGTCTAACAGTTGAAGGACATTAGATACTATTATCAGTAAGTCTTCTCTTTGCTGTTGGGTCTTTGAGCAAACACTGATTTGCATCTAAAGGAGTGCTGTTCTAGTCCTGACCTCTGACCTCTCTGTGGAAGGGAGCAAAATAGAAGAGGATATCCCTACCAAGGGGGACACGAGGGGCAAAGAATCCGGAGTCCCATCTGATCTTATCAACCAGGTTAAATTGTATTTGTCAGCGGGTTGTGTTGCTTACATTTACAAAAACACTTTCTAATTATAGAGAAAATCTTGAGTGACGTGACCTGTTTCTATATTATATATATAATATAACCCACAGGCCAAAATAAAGACCATTTTTATTAAAAACAAACATGATCCAAATTATGTAAATGCAACATTTTGTAACCCATAACAAGTCATTTTTATTTCAGCTTTTTACCACGGTAGCAAAGTTTAATGATGCAGTGTAATAAATTGCAGCAATTGGCTGTTAAAACATGAAGTCTTTTAGTGGCTGTGGCCCAAGCATTCATCAGCAGCCACCAGTAAAATACAGGTATTCAGCTACTGGTAATTAAATTCTCTGCAAGTAACCAATTGTCAAATGCTCTTCTTTTTTTTTTAAATGCACGGCCATTTCTGCCAAAAACTGGATGCCCAGGACATGCTGGCAGCACCTAGCCTGTGTGTAGACAACCATCATTAGGTCTCATTGGCAAGACAGATGAATGGAGAGAAACCTACCAGCCTCATGAATTTCCAGTGCGGTTCATGTTGTTATTTTCCAATGCTTTTGCTGGTGACTTTCACAGCAAGGCTTCTATTAGAAGGTTATTTGACTGACTCAGCTATGAAAACAAACAGAATATGTAGCGTTTAATACTAGGATCATTGTGAGTTATCTGTTAGCAAAAAGAGATCAGACTCTTTTTGCACTAATGCATTACTTTGCATTTGGAGGAAAAGTACTTTTCTGATGGGACATTGAAATTGTAGTTGGCAAACCTACAACCTTGATCAAGTGGCCTCGGTAGACAACAACATATGCTGACTTGCCTGAAGGGATGCATTAGGACCATTCCTTATGCTGAGTTGGAAATGGTCTTCTAATGGCCAAGTGTTGCATCGTGATACAACAGGCCAGGGTCCGTATGAGAGGTCCTTAGTCGTGTGTGTGTGTGTGTGAGTGAGTGAAACTGATTGCCTGGACAAGTCCTGTTTTATTGATTAGCTTAATGCTCACTCTGAGGTAAAAGGTCATTTTCAGAGCTGGTGTTTCCCAGCCTGCACACACAATACTTTTTCCACAGGAAATTATTGTGCTCTCATACTATTTAACTTCTGCTCTGTCACTAATGCAGAGTAGACTAAGAAGGAACCATCAGACCAATGCTTGTGAAAGTTTCTGTGTCAGTGAATATACCTGTTCTCTACATGACACAAAACATTTTGGGTAATTTTTATTGATGAAACTAATAGTTGGCTGGTAAAAAGGGGAAGTTTATAAGGTAGCTTGTAAATTTTTTGCGGTTTCATTCCCACCATAGGAAGGATGCAGGGAAAGGATTAATGTATTTCTTGATGTGACAGGTTTGTGATGATACTATATCTGTGGTTACGTGACATTTTCTACCCTATGTTGTATTCTGTATAAAATAGAGCTGGAGATGAGTGACAGAGACATACAACATTACATTGTGTAATAAATTAAGAACAGTCGAGGACAACAGTAGAAACATGGCCATGTTCGGGTTGTGATTATTAGTGCTTTGGTTGTAATACTATGTGTTGTCTGCTCCACAGAAAAGGAATTGAACACTAAATGTGTTGTGGAGATGGTGAAGAACCAGACGATCCTCCATCCTGCGGGAGGTAACCTGGGCAAAGGAGACTCAAGGTATGTTTATCAATAGCTGTCAGTAACAACTATTTGTTCTCTTCATACACATCTTTTTTTCATTAGAGGTACATTGTAATACAGTGTATCTGCAGACGCACTGTTCTCAAGCTTTCTTAAGTTAAGTAATTCAGTGATTATCTATACATCCATGGGTACATTGAAAACATTGCCATTGTTTTCTGTCCTTACTGCGCTCTAAACCTTGGACACTTTCTTCTTTCCTTCCCATATTTTCTACCTTAAAAAAAAGCGTTTCTCAGATTTGTTTGGAATGTTTCTTTGTCGACATGATGTAGTTTTTGGCAGGAAGCTGACTAACCAGCTGTTGGGCCTCCTAGAGGCAGGTGTAGTTCAGCTCATATCACTTGTCACTTGTTTCCCTCTGTTGGCTTTTTCCCTGTTTCCATCCTGTTAACCAGCTGCTGTTTGTGGGCAGCGCTGAATTGTGTTTGAGTCTTAAGTCTCAATTCCTGCACTGAAGGAGGCATTCGGACATATTAGATTTTGTTGTATTGGGCAGCACAGAAATGTGTGACTGCATTCACTCTGTGTGTGTGGTTGGTGCCTGAGTGAAGGAATGTTGCAATAGTGATCAGACCCAGCAACATTTTGCAAATATAGAGGACAAACTGTGAATTTGAACTCCTCATCTGTAAAAGACAAGCTGTAATAATGACCTTTAATTTAGTTATATAATGGTTCAGAATTAGCCAGTAGGCCATACTCGACTACCCACCCGCCATCTTGGAGGAAGCCAGCTGTGTCGGAAGAAAGATCTCCTTGTGACTGGCGGAGCTGACTGCAGACTGCCAGATCAGAAGTGTTGAATAGCGCTGGCTTCAGGCTGAGGTGCAGCAGCAGCAGCAGCAGCAGCAGCGTGTGGGTGTGGGTGTGTGTGTGTTTGTGTGTCAGAGGTGCCCGAGTTGGAAGAAAGACAGCAGCAGCAAGACAGAGGCAGACAGAGACAATTATACATGAAAAGACAGACTCCACTCCACTCTCTTCCCTCACTCGTCGGGTCGTAACTCCCCACCGCCTGGCTTCCTCCCTTTTTCTCAGCTCTTCCGTTTCCGTGGCAACACAGGGGGAGGTTAACTTTGGGTCGCTGTCTGTGACCGTGAAGCCCCTTCCTTGAGTGAGGAGACGATGGAAGAGGGGGGGAAAAACCCTAATTTTCTCGAGCATCTGTCGACCATAAACTAACTTCAGTGACTTTTATGGAGGACTAAACAAGAGCAGAGCTGTAGTTTCTCTCTCAGTCTCTTGGTGACAATGGAGCGAGGAAGCAGCAGGAGGATGGGCTGACTTGCTGCGCTCAGCGTGCAGATGCTATTTTCATTTTGTTTGTTTGTTTTCCATTTTCCACTTACGTACCGTTTACATTTGAGGATTATCTTTTGCCCAGAATTTTATTTACTTGAGAAAGAGTACCTGGAGTGGGTGCATAGATGGAGTATAGAGTAAAGTTAAGATGTTGCACTTGAATGGTGTTTTCTTAGCTATCTGTCTGGATGTCCTCTGTTTCAAACTAGAAAGACATATCCGCAGAGGTTGACACATAAAAAAGAGAGTGGAGTTGCCTGACTGACTATATCTAAACTCTGTCTTTACTTGTATGTAAATACAATTTTGCGTATCTGCAAAAACTAACTACAGACATTGCTATTGAAGATGCCTACAGACTGATCCGCACAATTAGTTTGAAGAATTCTCCGGTTATTAGACCAAAAAACTGACCGGACTTCTGATTGAATGTGAAAGAGATTCTTATATAAGCACCAAGACAGCAGTCTTTTTTAGAAGAGCAGCGAGGAATGGAAGAAAAAGATTTAGATTTTCAGTCTCAGACAGGAGACAGTCCATATTATTACATGTATTATGGCTTTCTATTATGATCTGTTGCCATCGAACATTTGCCAGTATTGCCTGTTTTAAAGACACTTAAGTTTTTGGTATGTATTGGCCTGCATTGTATCTGTGATCTAGGTCATATCATTTCCTAGATTACAGAGCTGCATCCTGCCCCACTTCCAGCATCTGATCCTCCAGCCTCCGTCCATATTGTCTTTTATACTTTAATTTGCCTTCAATTTCATTGATCTGTATGCATCGGTACATTATTGTTTACTGCTGTCTGAAATAATAAACCGCTTGTAATTTTTACAACGATGTAAAAGCAATTATATTCTTTTTTTATTAAACCGCTCTGGCACAACAATACAGCTTTTTTTGTTGACGGGGCAAAGACGAGCCTGAAATTTGGTCTGGGCTTTGGCTCTAAAAAAAAATAAGCTCTAGGAAGGATATCATGGAGTAGAGGTCATGAGACCTTGCCAAACAGATGGAGCAAATTTTCTTGGACATGTATATATTTGTGACTGATGTTTCACTTCAGGGTAATACAAGATATAGCATAGGTGAACTGATGTGAAGAACACTTGGCATGTATTCTTGTTTTAACGTAGGACTGTTTTCAGTCTGAGCACTCATCATCCTCTTTATTCGCCATCTTAAGCAGTAAACTCATTATCTCTGCAGTCCGACATGAAGTTTTCAAAAGTGTCTGCACTGGTGTTTTTGTTGGAGTTGTTGCTGAAGCTAAGGATTAGTTCTGTGTAAATATAAATGAAGGATTTTCTCTCTCTGGTGCATTATCAAGGTATAACTCAATATCCTAATGTTCAGTATATTGAGTTTACATTTAGGTCTTGAAATTCCCTTACTATACTTATACTATACTATATTTATTTATACTAAAATTACCATCTCATCCACCCAGGCATAGGCGAGAGAAGAGGCCACCCATCTCTGAAAGAAGGGAAGGTCATGTAAAGGATTGGTTAAACACTGACCCTTAAACAAGCGTGACACACAATAGACCTTGTCCACCAAATGCAGACCTACTCATCGCCTCTCTACCACATGCTGTCACATTAAAATAAGGCCTGAGCTACATGACAAGATTCAGTCAGTTAAGGATAAAAGTGTTTCTAACAAAAACAATTTTAAGTTTCTGTGCTTTACCTGATCAAAACGAGTATTTTTGAATTCTCCACCATAAATAATTTGAAAGGACCTCATTTCAAGGTCATTTTCTTTTCTTATATTTTTTTTGGGGGAAAATTTCACTTCTGAATTGTCAGTTGTGTGTTCTACTTGTGTGTTGGATTCAGTTTTTCCACCAGTAATGCACTCTGGGCAGGCCAGACTTAGGTCTCTCATGCTGGCACTGTCAGTGACTCACTGCGGTGGTGACTTGTGTTATGAAGTTTGAGTTTTTTGCTTTCTTTAAGCACTGTTAATGCTATATAATGTACTAGTTCTCTGTGCTATCTGAGAGCCAAGGTTTACATAGGTTTTCTTTGCTGTCTAGTATTGGGAATCTTGCATACATTTTATTTTGTGTCCTATCTGCTTTTGCACCTGTCCTACCAATGTCCTTACCTCCAGTGTTTGAGCTGCAGAGCCACGCACTCTGTACTAGTCTGTCTGATAAGCAGACAGCTATCCTCCCTGCAGACATGTGGTCAGACGCTATAGTTTGCATGATGACCTGAGGCTGTTTGCATTGGACTGTTGAAGCTGGATGTTGACACACTCTGACAACGATCTGTCTCCTGTCAGATGTCAGCGAGGCAAACACAAGCGGCTTGGTTTCCAAGACGATACACAAAAGAGACTGTGTGGCCTCGTATCTTGGAATGATGTCGGACATTTTGTGTGTCTATGTCCGCGTGTCTATGAGTGCAGTTTTTTATTGTATGTGTCTGGTGTTATTATGTTTGTCGATCTCCATTTGTGGAAGTAAATGATCTAGAAAGGTGGTATTTGGGTGTAGGGTAAAGCGAATTGCGGGAACAGCTCGCCTGAAAAACACTGTGTGATGGTGGGTGTTTCTAACAGTCCACTGACATAATGATGGGGTTAGGAATTAAGGAAAGATGGTGTCATTCATCCGCAGGCCACACTGGCTCATTTCCTCACTTTTCTTTCTGCTTTAAATTTTGTCTGAAGCAGTGTGGATGTCATCAATTTGACACAAACATGGTGAAGTCCAAGTTTACCAGTTTTCAGATCACTTGGTCAGGTTTGGGTGGATTAGTGGTAGTAGTAGTAGTAGTAGTAGTAGTAGTAGTAGTAGTAGTAGTAGTAGTAGTAGTATTTAACAAAACCAGTAACAAAATTTGAATAAAAATATAGCAAACCTTTAGCAGGATGTGCTTGTAACTGTGTGTGCTGCAGAGCATTCATGTGTGAGACGTCTGTAAGGTGTCAAACATTGCATTCACAAGCACAAGCAAGGCTGTTCAGCGGTCCATAGGATATTGGACTTTCCCATAAATACATCACCATGAGCATAAACTGAGTGTGTCTGGGCTGTTGTGAGGAGTCACTGAGCTAAAATGTAAACACACAAACCAGTGTGAATGTAGAAAACGTTATAGTGAGCATTAAGAGTGAAGAGGAAATGATAAATTCTCTACCTGCGTAGTAGTGCAGACACTGGTCCTTCTCACAAAATGTGAGGAGGCTACCATAGCCACCACTGCCCATGTAGTGTGCCTTTCCAACCATAGATAGACAGCAACATTATATCAAGATATGCATATCGTCCTACTAGTGTAGCTGAAGCCTGACTGTGTGAGTGTATGAGTATCAAGCTCAGGTTTGGTAAGGGACAGGAAATCATGTATGCTGTGTGGCTCGGGCCTGAAAGCTGGATGTTAGCCCATTGTATACTAATTTAGTACCATCTTAAAAACACATTTTAAAAAAGGAAGTGAGTTCACACTCCATCCTCAAGTTGAAGAAAGCCTATTCGCTGTAACATCTAATGGTGGCATAGCTTGAAAATGTCTGGCTTACATATGAACTGTTTTACCGTCTCAAGATGTGAAGAGCATGAAAGCGAGCATGAGAAAGCACAACTGTCTAGAGGTCCAGTTAATGTGCATCATATGGATAGAAAGTGAAATATGTATATATATGCAAAGGCTTTATACCAGGACACGTGCATTGATTTAAACAGTTCTTGCAAGCTGTTCGCTATACACTTGGCATGGTCAAAATCAATCAGTGAAGCAATTAGTATAAATATATTTATGTTTTGCTGGCCTTTGCACTAGGTCTATTTTGAACTTGGTAATTTTCAAGTCTAACTGTTAAATGGGATTTCAAATAAATGTTAGCCTTTCAATTTGCAGTAGACCATATGATATTATCTATTTTTTCATGGCTGAAGGTTTCCTTCTTGATACTAGCGGGCAAAGAGAAGTAAAATGGCAGACCGTATTACTGGATTTTATTGTATTGGAAATTTCCACACAAAAAAAGAAAGAAAGAAGTTGAAATTGATTGATTGAATTTTTGGAACAATGAAACATTGATTTGATATTCTGTTATTTACAATAAGTGACATAGATGCAAGTGAAAAAATAACCTCCTGTCAGAGTAAATTCCCTTAGGCAGCGTGAATAAAACCAGCCTCAGTCTGGGTGGGTAACATGGCCTCCTTGAATGAGTTTTATTCATTTCTACATCGGTAGGCTGCTAGACCACATGTACTGTAAGCGTAGAATACTGGACTCTCAGTGTATATACAATTACAAATGATACAGCAGCTGAACTGTGATTGGTATAATCCCCTGTACGTCCCCTGGAACATACAGTGTGTGTATGTGGGAGGATATGGTTAGGCTGACAACCGTATAATCTTTTTCACAGTATGTGGGGAACTATACAGTGTTATTCAGTATGTGCTGAGCTCAAGTATTAGCCTGTTACATGTCCTGTTGTCCTGTGCCATCAGTATGTACTGTGTTATGCTGATTCTGTTTCTGCGTCAGCTTAACATTCCAGTCTCAGGCCCAGCCTCTTTCCTCCCTAACCCCCCTGGCTACCTTCAGCCTTCTTTCCATCCTCCATTCCTCATTCCTCCCTACGCAGCCATGGATGGTACAGTCCTAGAGGAAAAAAAAAAAAAAGAATGCAAGAACAGTAGAGAAAAAGGGGGGTGGGGGGAGAGCAACCATGCATTAAGTTATTTTTTAAATGACGGTGATCAGAGTGGAGGAGCAGGCCGAAGGGAGGAGGGACAAATAGAAGTGTTCGAGGACCGAGGGAGGCGGGTTCACGGCTCTCCTGACTGCCTCCCTCTCCCCTCTCATTGGTCGGGGGGTCCCCCGAGCTTCGTTAATGGGCGTTTGAGCGCAAGACATGGATGACCCTTCTCGCCTGCAGCCTTTGAAGCAACCATGACAGCTGTCATCACTACGTACGTCAAAACCTGCCACGCCAATTTTACCCCTAAAGTGTTTGGAGATATGACTGTGGGGAGATAGTCTAGTAGGATGCTCTAAAGCCCCTGAGAGGAGCATTCAGAGAAACCAAAATATTGGGAAATCAGGGATTCACAAACTATTTAATATCAGAGAGCCTTTGAATTGATACACGGGGGGGGTTAGGGATTCCAGTTTGAAGACTTTACTTCAAGCAACCCCATCTGTGAAGATTTGTGTTGATGCAATTGTTTGTAAAGAATTACAGTCAAATCCCGTTTATATCCTTATGTATATCCTTTCTTTGTATTTTTAGACAATAACATACTTTTAACATTTTTAACCCTCCCAGATACCCCTAGAATCGTCTCTTGTAACTGCTTGAGATCCTGTTGACTCAAAAACAATGCTTAGGATAAACGTCAACACTGTGTAGAGTAGGCCCTAATTGTATCCTGAAGAGCTACTGGAATCAATAAGCCTCCAGATAGGAATTCATCTGCATGTTTGTGCTCTCTGAATGCAGCATGTCAGCAGTGGAACGTCAGTGAAATATGAAGTGTTACAGATTGGACTGTATGCTGGCTGCTTTGTGCAAGAAGCTTTGCTGCAGCTTTGGCGGTTTATAAAGAATGTGCATGGGTAAAAGGAAACAGGTGTGTAAGTGTCTTTGTGTGTGTTCTATCTTTACAAGGACAAATTTGAGCTATTTAGATTGTGGACATTTTTGTGATATAGCTTAGGGTGAAGGGTAGATATGTAGATATATCTGGCATTTATTGTTGATGATCAGTATTACTTAAAAATAGAATGAATGTAGTTTAGGGTCCTCATGAGGATAGGGGTGTGTCTGTGTGTGTCTGTGT